CCTGCTGAATGGAGGTTCAGTGTTTTACAAGACTTCTGCAGCTTCTCCCTTTCTGAAAGCAAATCCTTCTCTTCAAATACCTCATGTAACCTCCTGACTACCAGTCTCCAGTAACTGCTGAGGTCAGTGAAAAGCATTAACCCCCGCAGGGTTTCCTGGGACACAGGGAATTTCTGCTCTGCTCCGTGCCCAAAGGGGAGCCTGCAGCCAGGCAGCCTCTCACTGGAAGGTTGTTCAAAAGATCAGCACTATTAAGAAAAAGTAAAAAATGGATAAAAATGACCTTTCAATAGCTATCAGATAAACACCTTTCCTTTATCCTTGCTCTTGCACTTAAAAGCACCGCCTCTGCACTTCTCTGTGGGCTCACACTGATTGCTGCTCCACACTCAGAGCGGGGCCATTCGCTTACCAGAGGCTGTCGCTGTCGCCCCCGCTTACTGTGCACTGCAACTGAGAGGAGAGGGACACTGAGAGAGGGGACAGGATAGCACCGGGGGGCAGCTGCCAGCCACACAGGGTGGCTTCTGGTGCCTGAGGGCCAATGGGGGAGCAGGGCTCCCCTTCAGGAAAGAAGCCTCCAGCTCTGCCCTGCCATCCCCACCTACACCCGGGCTGACCAGGAGCATTGGGAATAGACACACAGATACTAAGAAGCTGGTATGTTTACTTTACTACAACATCAAGCCAGTTAGATAAAATACACTCTCATTCAAAGAGAACCAGCCTTGACAGCCATGGCATTAGAAGGAAAACATTAAAATAACTCCAGCCTTCAAAGGGCCACGGGAAGGATTTTTAATGTAATTTACTGCCCCTGTGCCAAGCCCTACATATTTACCTGATAAACTGATATTTATCCCCAAATTAAAAACATCTCATCAAATCAGAATATAGGAAACAGACCAGACAGGCAGCTAACCCTTCCATTTAATTGTGGTACACATTGTGAAACCAGACAGGGGAGAGCACAGCCACTGCTTCTGTCTCAGCACTTCTGCCAGGTGTCAAATTTACCCTCTCCAGGGCTGTTTCACCAGCTTGAAAAATAGAAGTACTGAATTCTACATGTACGTCCAGAGGTCCCTTTTGGAAGTCCCAAGTGTAAACAGTGAATTATTGCACCCGGGGAAAGCAGCCTGGGTTT